AATTTCCTCACCTCACAGAATGGGAGGACCTGAAGGAGTCTTGGCGACAATTTCATCCCCTCTCTCTTCCTCTTGTTTTACAGAAGAGAAAACCGAATCTCAAAGATGAGGAGTGGCCTGTCATAGGCTTTTCCTATGCATATTGTGGTCAGTTCTATTGGAGAGTGGGTACTAAAATACTAACACTACCTTTCACTTGTGATGGACTTTATGGTTTATACAATTTTTTATTTTCACAGTACCTCATTTGCATATCATGAAGGTCAATGTTTATCATTCTTCCTATTTTATAGATGGACAAATAGAAGCTGTTGGGACAGGTTCCTTAATAAGAGTTAGCTGTCTTGTCCAGCATCAGAGAGACAAAATAAGCTACTGAATTAAGATTTATCTGTTTAGTTATTTATTCATTTTGAGACAAGGTTTCTCTCTGTCACCCAGGCTGGAGTGCAGTGGTACAAACATGGCTCACTGCAGCCTTGACCTCCTGAGCTCCAGTGATTCTTCCACCTCAGCCTCCTAAATAGCTGGGACCACAGGCACAGGCCGCCATGGCTCGCTAATTTTTTGTACTTTTTGTAGAGATGGGGGTTTGCCATGTTGCCCAGGCTGGTCTCGAACTCCTGGGCTCAAGAAATCCTCCTGCCTTGGCCTCCCAAAGTGCTGGGATTACAGCTTGAGCCACCATGCCCAGCTGGAACTAGGTTTTAAATCCAGTCCACAGGACTCCTGATCCCTACTCTCTTTTCACTGTCACTCACTGCTTCTCAGATTGTTTTAAGTGTTTACAAGTTCCAGATCCTTAATTTTTAAGAATAAGATCTGAGATACATTTTCCTCAGAATGTTATAGAATAATCCCAGCATTTGGGATATGGATCTGGGAATCATTTTTGTTTTGAAGAAACCCCACGGTGTGCCAGGTGCCCTGTGCAGTATTAGGTAAAACCAAAAGATTACCTATATCAGCTATTCTTACCACAAAAAAGCCACTTTCACATGGTTCATCAATTAGACCTGACTTTGAGACTAGAGTAGGTTTCAGACACCTTTTTAAAAAAATCTTAATGGTCTTCTCCTGCTTTGTATTCCCCATTTATTAAAACAATGTGAATTGTTTTAGAAGACACGGTTTTCTGGAGGTTAGTTCAGGCAAATTCGTGCTATGTTCATAAACTGAGCACTGAGATTAAAACATGGATGAGATGCTCCCCGTATCCTGAAGAGATACGGTTTAAAGAGGAGACAGTGTTTTGACAGTTTCTAAATCAGGAGTCATAAGTCATAAGGAGGGTCTGATACACAGCAGATGTGCAATCAATATTTCAAAAAGGAATGAATAAGAACAATGGCTAAGGTACATTCAAGACCTGCCCTGGGTCAAGACCTGACCTAAGCTCTTTATGTCTGTGATCTGATGTAATGTGCGCATTAATGCTATGAGGAAGCCACTCTTGCCATTTCACAGAGGAGGAAAAGGTGGCACAGGGCAGTGGAACAACAGTGCAACAGTCTGCATTAGTTAGTAGTGGAACTGGGCTGGAGACCGGGTGTTCACTATCCAAAGTCCTGGCTTTCAACTAATAAGCTATCCTAAAGGGAAGCAGGAAGACAGATGACAGAGAGTTTGCTTGGGGGCATGCTGAGTTTGAGGTCCCTGTAGGATCTCCAGATGGCTCTGTCCAATAAGAGGCAGAAACGTGGCTCTCATGCTTGGCACTAGGCTTGGCCAGAAACACAGATGATGAATACTTTATTGATTAATAACAACATAATAAGTGACCTCCTTTAAAATCATCCTCACATGATTTTTATGTATTTCTATCCTAATACCCGAACACACTGCTAGCATTATTTCCCCTGGGAGCAAATGTAATCATTAAAGGCTCAAACAACTTTTCCCAGGAAATATTGATTCTTGGAGTCATTTGATAGGTTTATCGGACATTTAATTTGCCATCCGACTCCTGACATTGATCAAATCCAGGGAAATGGTTGACCTTTCACCCTCGTCTGTTACTATCAAACCAAATCATCAGACTACTATTCGGTCTCAAAGCCAGCTGCCTTTTAAAAATAAAAATCAAATTAGTCTTTTTCGGTGTTTGGCTATTGAAAAGAAAACCAAAAAAAAAAAAAAAAAAAAGAAAACATGCAAATGGCTGACATAACACATATTAAACCTAGAATCTACTGATTTCCATCCCTCAGAAAGTTGTTAGCTCTAGGCCAAGGAGAAATAGTATGAGTTGATTTTTCCCTGGTAAAACTGTGAGGGGGACAATACCATTGGTAGTGGCAGCATCAGGCTGGGCCACAGCAACCAGCTTGGTGATCGGCCAGGAAGGGATTTCTTAAGGTCAAGATGCTGACCAAAAAGGATGAGGCTCAAGACCTGAGCTCTGGTCTTGGCTGAAGTGGTACCTCGGCTGCCACCATCTGTAATAAGTAATGTACAGGTGGACACTCAGGTCCTGCACCCCAGCCAGGATGAATAAATCTGGTCATGTCGTTACAGGATTTGACATATAGCCTTAGCCCAACCCAAGGGACCTGTGATTTTTGTTGTTTGTATGAATCGTGTTTATTCCTCCACTGCATCATTTCAAAGGGTGAGGTGGAGATGGCTCATTCGTAAGTGCCGACAGAATCAGCACCTATGGACTTCCTCTCTCCACGGTGCCTGTGATGTTGAGTCATGGCTGGAGGCCTGGCTGCCCAGAACAGCACACCCAGTTCCCAATGACCTTGGTTCTTCCCTCTTCCAGACCTGAAGGGTGATTCTCGGCACACCAGGGGCACAGTCCTGATTCTGCTTTCCTGTTCTTTACCCTCAGTTACAGGCCCTGTCTGGGAAACCAAAATGATGTCTCACTTAAAGCCTAGTTCTCAACTTCTCCCATTTGGGTTTGATTGAATCCCAAACACATTTCTTCCACTTTAAAAAAAAAAATTTTTTTTTGAGGGAGGGTCTCACTCTGTTGCCCAGGCTAGAGTGGCATAAATATGGCCCCCTGCAGCCTCGACCTCCTGGGCTCAAGCAATCCTCCCAACTCAGCATCTCCAAGTAGCTCACACTACAGGTGTGTGCCACCATGCCCAGCTAATTTCTTTTGTTTTTTGTAGAGATGGGGTCTCACTATGTTGCCCAGGCTAGTCTCAAACTCTTGGGCTCAAGTGATCCTCCCACCTCAGCCTCCCAAAGTGCTGGGATTACAAGTGTGAGCCACTGCAGCTGTCCTTCTTACACTGTTAAATGCCTTTTCTTTAAACTCTTGGCCCACAGATGGTCTTTCAATACCTCTACTGCATCTTCAGGCACTATCCTTTGCTATGTTAATCTCAAAAATAGCACCCGAAAAAGCCATCATATTTGCTCATGTTTTCCTCTTTACTATACTCCTTTTCCTTATTCTGAGCAGGAAAGACTTAAGTCTTTTCCCCCTTTCCCTTTAACCTTTCCTGCTCTCTTTATGTTGTCCTGACATGCAGCAGCAAGAGAAGGGTGTTACTTTTGAAGACTTTGATAAGCTACGTGAACATAAAGCTTTGGGCAGATATTTTAGCTCTATATATTAAGCTTTATTTTATTTTATTTTATTTTATTTTTGAGATGGAATTTTTCTCTTGTTGCCCAGGCTGGAATACAGTGGCACAGTCTCGGCTTACTGCAACCTCTGCCTCCTGGGTTCAAGCTATTTTCCTGCCTCAGCCTCCCGACTACCTGGGATTACAGGCACCTGCCACCACACCTGGATAATTTTTTTGTATTTTTAGTAGAAACAGGGTTTCAACACATTGGCCAGGCTGGTCTCAAACTCCTGATCTCAGGGGATCCACCCACCTCAGCCTCCCAGGGTGCTGGGATTACAGGCGTGAACAACCACGTCTGGCTATATTAAACATTAAAGAGGACCATGCAACAAGGTCTTGGCAGGTAAACTGTTCTGACCACCTCTTCAGAGGCTCTGCCACAGGGGATGCTGAGCCACTGTGTATGGGATAGTCCCAGCTCCTCTCGGTGGGCAGAAGCAGGATAAATTTAATAGAACTTTCTCCAACTAAACCCTTCACTACTTCTCCCTCAACCAAATCCAAACCCTATATTTCAGCAGTAAAATATTTATTAAAAGGCTCAAAAAATATATTTAGTAAAGGGTAAACACTTGCACGAACTATTGAGTACTGTCTTGGAAACATCATACAGAATTGACCTTCTTGTAAGCTTCCCTTCATATCACTGTTTTTACTGTAGATAAAGAGATGTGAAACCCAGCTTGCTGCTGACTCAGGCCTATGGAGAATCATACTTTGACCAGTAGGATGCAGGCCCTTGGGTTTTAAATTAGCCATTGAGTTTTTCATTTCACCTAATAGCATTCAGCTTAAAGAGCCATACTACTAAAGCTTACATGACATAAACCGGAAATTTACAATGCTGATGTGTTCATTTAATTTCCACTAACGGGAATCTAAATTTTTAGTAAATCGGATATTCATGCCAGTTGGTCACTGCATTCATTTTTTGCCCTACTGGGATACTTTGCTTGAAGGTTGTTTTAAATAAAGAGCGTTGTTTGGTGATAGAATTTACTGTGCCATAAAATAAGGCATCATACCCACTTAAATCTAATCCATTTTTTACATGTCCAGCTCATAATTTTATTTCCTCCTGGAATATCTCTCTGTCCACTTCAATTCTCAGAGTTGTCTCTTACCCCCCAATTTCTGGGATAGCAGTTAAGAGTCTCTATACTACATAGCTCAATTAGAGGAAGTACATAGTGTTTATATGAGCTATTGCCTCCAACCAACTTATAAGACTCTAGTTAACAAAATGCTTTCACATACTTTCATGTATCTCTCATTGAACTTCCTGTGAAGGTGGCAATTTCTATGTAAACCTTACAGGGCTTAGATCCGAGCCTTCCACCTATAGGGATTCAGGTGATGACGATCTTTTGCAAAACAGGAGAACTAAAAATACACATACCCGTAGTTACACACAAACACTCACTCCATTTCTGAGTGGGATTTACCATAATAGTGTGGATTGAAATGTGTGTGTGATTCAGTCCACACTATTATGTTAAATCCCACTCAGAGGGATTTAACAAGCCAAGTAAGCAATCAAAGTGTGATTTGCTTACTTTGTCTTTAGAAGTAAGCAAATCAGGAGATCTACCTTCAGGATCTGAAAAATACACACCCAGGCCATCATTAGCAGAAAGCCCACTGCTGTGCATAAATAACTAAAAAGAAGACACTGCCTAGCTCTTTCCAAGTGATTAGGGCCAAAAACTGCCCCAAAGTTTCAGGAGTTGTGTGTCTGGTTTTCTCACACGCCCATTGGATTTTGCCTGTGGTCATTCTGCCACCCCGTAAGATCTCTTAAGGAATTAAAATTAGGCATCACTAGAAAGATTTCATTTTGATTTTATATTCAACTACAAGGTCTTCACAAGGTCACTATTAAAGGGGTGCCACAGCATGTCCCCAAACCACATTTTTTGCTGAAGGTTAATTTCTTACCTTAACAATGTACTTTTTATTTATTTTAAGATGAATATCATTGACCTCTGGGAGATTATAACTGAAAGAATACATCTGCTTATTTAGGAAAATGTGATGTAGTAAACCAAAGGAATTAAGTTCTGGGCCATATATTTAATCAATAGTTTACTTAACAAACAGAGATTTGTTTCTGAGGCAATTCAACCAAATCTGACCAATGGGCATTTTCAAGGCATTGATAAACATACTCTGAACCAACAGACGTAGCTCTCCTGAGAAACAGGTCTGAAACCCTTGACAAAGAGCAAGTCAAACAAGGCAGTCAAATAAATTCTATCCTCTTCTATCTTCTTTTTAAAAAGACTGAAATTTTAGTTTAAAATGAGTTCAAGGAGGGAGGGAAATAATCTGGAGACTTTGAGGAAACTTGCCCTTGAGCAAATCCCCAGATTTTAATTTACATGAGAAGTAACAAGTTCTCATAAGAAAGGCAGTATGCATAAAATCACTTTCTACATTCCTGTCTTGCATTAGTCTCCATTGGGTATTTTGTATGTATTTATATACACTTGGAATATATGCAGTGATCCATATGTATGCTAATCAAAGTTCTTACAATGTATTACTCTTTGCTCTTTCACAAATTAAATAGTATAAATTGGGAGCACAGTTTGTCCCTGTAAAAATGCCAACAGGTAAGCCGGCCCTAGAGAAAAATGGACCAAATCAAGCTCTGCCAGAGCTCTGGAGTATAACTGAAAGAACGTAGGATTTCTGCCCAGAAAGCAACACTGAACACCTCATTTATTTTGAGGTAGAGGCTGTAGCTGGAGAAGCTGGAAGGTGAGAATGAGCACCCTAAGGTTGCAGAGGGCACCACTGCTCAGCGTAAACTCAGATATCTGGAAAATGCAAGGCTTCAAAATTAAGGATTGGAAAGGCAGGAGCTGAGCAAGCCTGAGGCCCTCCTCAGCTCAGGGTCTTGGCCAAGTGACAGGAGCTGGACAGGGGCAGGAGCCAAGTGGAGGAGCAGTGCTTTCTGTGGGTCAGCTATCCCTCCAGAGGAGAGCCGAACCACATTCCCGACTCCAGTTCACTTTTTTCTCATAGTTCTTAAACAACAGAAGATGATGCCTTAATGTGTTATCTATATCGCCCTGAAAAATACCTGCATTTCCTTCTGTCATATCGAATCAAATTCATTATAAAATTTCCTGTTTCATATCTACAAAATTGCTCTAAAGAATGTTACATTTTTATTTTTAAAAAGTAAGGGTTATTGGGGGAAAGAAAGTCTACTTATCAATACTTCTTTTGATTCCAATGACAAAGTAAAAAATATATTTCCCATTCTCTTTCAATATAAAATGTCTGTGCACTCTTGCTTTGTTAGACAAAGCATTCCTTTAATATCTTGGTCTGTTTTTATTTGATTTAAAGAATGACAGTTGCAAAAGGATATCTAACAGAACACTAGAGGTACACAGCTTGGCACATACAAAATATTCTGAATGAGTCTTTCCCTTATAGATGGATGATTCTTTTAAGTGGGCTCAGTTGTGTGCTTTCCCCCGTTTGCATCTGACTCTTGTGGTCAACTGAGAAGTGTCCTGTTCAGAAAAGTAGTAGAGAGAGAACCAGCTCATACTGTACTATTAATATTTTCTGGAAGCTCTGATAATAACTTTGGAGTTTCATCTTAACTTGCTAACTTTCTAGTCCTTGGGGGTAAAATTTTTGCTTCTTGTTTTAAAAAAATTCAATTAACAAATTACAAACTATGAAATAGATGCAGTGAAAATCAACCCAAATAGGAAATTCTGCTCACTTATTTTCCATACGACTTGCATGGACCAGGAAGGTGGTAATTTAGCAGAACGCTAAACCATGATGTAAATGTGGATCCCCTGTTTCCCTTTGTTCCTCCTCTCTCTTTTGTAATGTCTGCATTTTGGCATTTCTGCATTGCCTCTTTGGTTTCAGAGCTTTCTCACCGAGCCATTTCCCGTGGAAAAAAAAAAAAGAAGAAGAAGAAGAAGGAATATAGCAATTAGCATACATTATGTGGCTGTACCAAAAGCTATACTCACAAACATGTCTGCATGACAGACAAGTGGGCTGTGTTTCGTCTTGTTTCCTGGACTGCCCCGTCCTGCCCACAGCCTGCCATTTGCCAACAGAAGATGCCACCCCTTCCCTTCCTCCGCCATCAGCTTTCCCAGCACTGCGCAGCCAGTCAGCTTGCTGGCTCAAAGTACTACTTAATGAGTTTTTAATTCAGTTTTGACTCTGGATCCCAGCCAGCTACTGCTGCCTGGGGCTTGCATTTCCCTTTACACATCCTCAGCGAATAGTCATAAAGACAAGACGCTTCACTGTTGGATTTCTACAGGGAGGATTAGCTAGGCCTCAGGCCTCACATTATCGCCAGGTCTTGCTGGCTGCAGACAAAAAAAGGGCTAAAGGGAGTTATCTCACAGACCCAGGGGAAGAATCAGGGAGACACCTCTGAGTGCTGGGAAGCTGCTGTCTCAGCCTCTCTAGGGAGTGAACACTGCTCTGTTATCAGTGGGCCACAGTTCAGTGAGAACTAAACTACATGGAATATTTTGGAGGCCAAATTCACATGCATTTTTACAAACAGATGCCCATTGTGTACCGGGATCCTGGAATACTCCTCTCCACCAAGGTTCCAGTGGCCACTTCTTTCTCTCCCCAGAGGCTGGAAAGGGGTCTGCACGCTGCCCTTACCTCCCTGGATTCTGCTGACGATCATGAAAAAGTCAATGCTGCTTGGGGAGGCTCTGTATAAGCCACAGAAGCTATTACTCTAGGAGAAAATGTTGAAGAAACTCTCTGAGGCTTAAAGTGCTGGGATATACCTTGTACATGATGTAGTTTCTCCCACATTTGCCAAACCACAGCTAGCATATTACAGTGTAAAATTTCAGGGCCTGGGACTTGCAGCCAGAAGACCTGGGTTTAAGTCTTCTTGCCACTAGTAACATTTGGAGCAAGTGACACTGAGCCCTGTCTATTAAATGGGGATAATAATAATGCCTACTCTAAGAGTTGTTGTGAGGGTAGAACATGATGGGATCTCAGAGCTATTGAAATGTTTGCTATCACTAGGATTTCTCCCTTCTAGTCTATCTGGTTCTACAGTTAGGCTTTGCAGCTTGCTCTATCATAGCACGTAGCATGCTCTATCAGGGTGTCTCCTAACATGCAGTACATGTTCTACTGGCAGTATGCAAGATTGAGGTGATACACTGATGAGCTTTTTCACATTTTAATAGTAATGTATATTTTGTATATAGTGAATATGTTTAGGGTTATACGGCACTGCTTTTTCATCTAGGATAGTGATATAGTCCTGTTCAATACATGGCTAAGTGAACTAATGATCATTACATCCTATCCTCTTGTTTAGTGGATGGGAAAACTGAGCCCAAGAGGTCATGTGACTTGCTTGAGGTCCTGTTCCTGGTTTTTGGCCAGGAACAGGACTGTTGGTTGTTCTTGGTTCTTCCTCCTGGCCACAGAATCCTTCGGGATCATTGAATCGTATAAGTAACATCTCTATTAGTGTTTTAACCAACTAATGTACAACATTTTAAATTCTGATTTATTTTAGATTCTGGGTCTGCGGACTTGACTATATTGTATGACTTAAGTATCTATTCCGTCATTTATTTATTCATTCATTCAACAAATATACATTAGGAACTTCCTCTATGCCAGGTCCTGGAGATATAGTGGTCAGCAAGACTTACATTCTAGTAGGGACAGAGGAGCAAAAATAAACAAATAATTAAGACAATTATCAGACAGTGATTGGCAAAGAATTAAAATATGGACATGTGAAAAAAAAACAAACAGGGTGACTATATTTTGACCAGGGGACCGAGAAAGATTAAGGTCAAGAAATCCACTACAAATTAACTGACAAAATTACCTTTTATTTCTAAAGTGTAGGCTTCAGTGGGTCCTGTACTTTGGTTTTAGCCTTTCAAGGGTCTCATGGTATTAAAATAGCAACAGTAGGACACTGTATCGTACAAGACATACATGTCCAATTGCTAACAGGTGAACCCAATTGAAAAGAGGGAAAAAACAAACAAGGAAGAAAGGAAAGAGACTCTTCCAAGAAAAATACTCATTCATGGGTAAATATCACCTATGAATATCACCTATGAAGAGAGAGAGAGAAAACTCCCTAACAAATAAATACTAAAATTGTTTGAACAAAGTACTCTTGCAAGCAAAAACACGCAGGGAAAGCAATGTTCACCCAACAGACTGAGAGCTCTTCTGTTTAAGACCACACAGGCCTTACCCTGTCCCTGAAGATAGGCAGAGGAGCTGGAACTGAGGTCCCACCCACCTCAGAATGGATGTCTTACTTAATTACTGAAGACAACTGTATTGGTTCCCTGGTTACCCTCCATGTGATTTCCATGATCCTTTGCCTCTGTCATATCAGGCATGAGCTCTACGACTCATACAAGAAAGTTGGCACTAGCAAAGAGATGACCTTGCAACATTACCAGGGAAGCAGTTCCCATCCAGCCCATCATCAGCCCCTTTTTAAACTG